CTAAATATTGTCTCTCTAAATCACTCGAAATTTGTTTGATGCCAAAATCTTAAATGCTATATTTTCTTGCCTTATAACAAAATAATTGTTAATCAATGNTTTAAATACAAATCAGTTATGGAATCTAATATATTTTGATACTCCAAAATATCTACCCTTTTTTNNTNNTTNNTTTTTTCTAAAGGAAAATTATGAGTTACAAACCATATGTTCGATCATCTTCCCTTCTCCAGTATTGCCATATGTTCCATTGATTCCTATTGTTTAAAGCTTTTCATGCCCCTGTTAATTCAGCATGTCAATAATAAGACAAACAAAAACACGAGCTCTGGCAGAAAAAGTGGAGTAGCTGACCAAGGTAACCAATCGCTGTATAACTGTTTTCAAATCAGTCATAAAAATGTTATATAGATGGAACATTCGTTGAATTTTTTATCATTACCAAGGTAAGAGATTAGACCAAGGTATTACACAGTTTTTTATGCCAATATAAATTTAGCAGTAATGTGCTTTTCAATTACTTTAACGAATTAGACCGATAGAAAGAGAGAGAGAAGTGGAAATTGGCTACTCTTTTTATTATTGTTTTTTTTATGGTTATAGGAACTTATTTGCTTTAAACAATAGGAATCGCTAGATATAGTTATGTTTGATAATAACGGCCAGCGATTGATGGAGATTTCCTCCTCTTCTACTCAAACGACCATGTTAGAAGGTCTTTACCAGCATCTTCGTTTTTGTCTAAATAGGTTTTTGTGCTTAAGTTCATTTACCGACCCCATCTGTTACATTAGTCAGTTTTTCATCAAGCCCACAAANAAACCAAGGAACTAAGNAAACATAGAGCATCTGTACAAAAGCTCTGATATCCGTGAGCTAACTTACCTCAACTTGTGCTTCGGTTATAGCTGGCACCTTCNCAGTAAGTTTCTTTCGACCCCATAGCAGTAAGTTTTGCAGCCTTTAGATTTAGATCTATTTCTTTGGCCGACCCGTTTTCACATCAAAAGTAGTCCAATTCCTCGAAATCCTTCTTCTTCTATTTTCTTGCAGCGAAAACAAAGGTGTTTCTCACCAGCCGATCGAACAATATGAGAAAGAGGAAAGATGATGATGGAACAAGTCTTATACA